GCCGAACACACCTACCCGCCTTGTCTGAGACCATGGCAGTTACAGTACGAATGGCCGAAAAGTTGCTATCAATAACGTGGCTGGAACTTGGCATATGGTCTCAAATAGTAGCTAATCCCACAATCGTACCGTTGCAGGCATTCGTTCCACCCACTAATTTTCTGTGTACACCACGGATTGATTGTGCCGCAGATAATTAGAGCTTACACTGCGTGCTGAAGAGTGTACAGTTGGGTAGAGGGAAAACCCACGAAAATAATTCACTGGGAGGCAGTGTTAGAATTTACATTTTTCTTGATAGACTTACGGAACTAATTAATTTTTAAATCGATTATTTTAGAATACAGCTTAGAAGCACTCAGTTCTAGAAAGCGATTGGTAGTTTTAGCGTAATCCTACATTAAAGGTTACATTATGTAGGTATGATGAGTGCCTTTAAAAAACTATGGTTGTTCCATTTAATTGACCCGATTTTTTCCCATAGCAACTCAAGTAAGTAAATTGACTTTTGTCTTTAGCTAACAGAAGAACCATCCCTTCCTTGATATTAAATTTGGTAAATACAAAAATGTATGTGTACATGTCATTCTAGGTTCCTACTCTGAGGAACAATGATACTTTTGTGCTAGACATTAGAAAGTTTATGGATAATGAAAACCGATATTATAGAGCACTAGTACAACAGTGGAAGAATATCATTCTTTAATAGACATAACGTGTTTAATTATGACTGTACCACTGTAACTTAATAGGCAGATTCGGTTAGATATAAAATCACCACCAAGGCAATATTCCAACAAATTGTACGAATATAAGATTTTTCACGATTAACTACCATTATTCTACGCGAGAAGTTCTCACCCAATTTTAATGAGTCCAAGAAATTTTAAATGGATTCGTAAAGAGAGAGGGAATTACTTATCGTTTTGTTTGGGTTTTATCCTTACCCCTGAATAACAATTTTAGCTCTATTCCTTTTTAGTTTGGTACTATTTATATATTAATAACGCTCACTAACTATATTCACTAAAGTTATAAATAGTTTTGCTCATTTTCAAAACATAGCAGGAGATGAAGGATATAATTAGTGCAATTGTTATCATAAGACCCCAGGTGATCCAAAGCTGTGGGCGGTACTGTAAAAATTTGTGTAGAAGAAATGAAACTGCTGTAGAATCAGCTAACCAGAAGAGATGAGCTTGCCGTAATAAGCAAAATTAAGTCGAGCCTCCGGTGTAGCCCTACAATTGCTCTTGGATTAGTCAATTAATTTATGAAGTAAGATCCAGCTAACGGCAGTAAAAATAATTCCAAGCATGAATAAGTTTTTTAATTTCAAAATGAAATCAAGATTTTGTTACGTTTTTTTTTACTTAACCTTTGTGTGAGTATAACATTTTGAAGCCGATGAACGATGTGTGGTACACCGACTCACTAGAGAGAGAGACTAAAAAATACCCAGCTTAACGATCATGTCATGGTATTTTGCTGCATGGAGTGGGAAATAATTATTTATCGAATGACTTTAATAAAAAATGTTGAAAAGTCAACCTAGATTAGCATGGAATAAAAATCTGAATAACGAATAAATATTTTAAGAACTTATTGAATTCTAAGAAGCTGAATTTGCAATGGAAAATTGAAGCTTTAAGAGGTGCTAATTTCCGATGCTTTCGTGGGATCGGTTTAGTTACAAATCAATTCCAAATATTATTTAGCTATTCCCAATATAATTAATACCCTGATTACCGTTACTCGATATTTAGTTTAGATTTAAGCGAACGCCCCAAACGATTTATCAATATTGTTATAATATTGTATCGGTATTTGAGACTACCATCCGAATTTAGCACATCCCTAGTTGTTTTCCCATAATATGAGAAGCTTCAGAGCAACCGAAGTTAACGTTCTTCTTTTTTGTATATGGGTATGTGTCTTTTTTTAATTTAATTTATATTTTATTATATTTATTTAAACCTTTTTTGTTTGCGTTTTAATTTATTTTTTCACTTTTTTTGTTTTTATGATATATTTTTTATTTAATCACCACCCTACACACTCCCACAGCAATTCAAAATAGACCACCAATTTGCACTAAAAATATTATCCCAATCTTCAATTCACTGGAATACGAAAAACACACTAGACATAAAGTTTTAACAGGCAGCAGCTATTAAAGAATAAAGCAAAGATTAAATAAATTCCCACACAGATCACTAATCAACACGTAATTGTTCGCCGATCCACTTTGTTTAAACAATTTTTTTTGTTGCCATTTCACACATGCTTGCCTATACATATATGTATCATAGGTAGCTATGTGTTTATAAATGAGAATCGCAGCAGTAAATTGTTATATAGCCCACTCCCACAAACAAACACAGCCACATGGGGAGAGCATGGGCAATTTTGATTTAAGCAAAAACAAACAAAAAATTAAATAAATGAAAAAACGTTAAATAACAAAAATACAAAAACAACTGCAATTTAGTTTAAATCTCATGCTCACCCATACCAATAAAGCCAAATTAGCAAACGCGAGCAGATACACAGAGAAAAAAACACTCGCAAAACACGCGTGCCACGCGCAGCTTAACTATTAGTTTGTGTGTGTATGTCAGCAGTGATGAATGACTGTGGCACTGGCAGGTGCGCCAACGTCGCCGAGAAAAGCAAACTTTTGTCACTGAGACACAAAGTGCGACACGTAAGAAACAAACGATGCAAACTAAGTGCATACGCAGAGCAAATAGCAAAGATTTTATATGGCTATCGCACATTCCAACGACAGACTAAAGGGCGAAACTATAGGGCGATTACGCATGCGTCAGCTGCGGGAGGTCATGACAATGTGCGGGCTGGTGGACGGCGTCAACCAGATGTTCAAACTACTTACTGAAATCAGTGATAAGACAGCATAGGAAGCTAGAGAAACACACCACACACGTTTGTGCTCTGAGCACGTGTTGTGTTTTTTTCGTTCGCTCTCTGTCTTTCGAGTACAAGGTGAATAAAGTTAAGTTTTTACAATAAACTCATTTGAATATTACAATTTTGATGGATACCTAATTGTTTTAAAGCGTGCGTTTACACAATTCGGCGCAGTTAGCCAAAGGTGTGAGTTACAGAGGGATAACAAAAATGTACTTGACTTCATACATATGTACATATATTTACTATATATTATATTTAGATATACCTATATATACATACATATATCTAAAATAACATCGGGCATTAGAAAGAACTACTAAAAGTTTTAAGTTTCCTCTCAAAATTTGAAGCAACCAAATCGTTCTAAAAGTCACTAAAATAAACGAATATAAATATATGTATGCTACATGTATGATGAAGGTGGTATGCAAATGATTTCTTACAACATGTCACAAACAATAGATATTTTACGTGCATATTGCACGTTTTATTCATTTTACTCAAAAGCTGATAAATAAATAGTTTCAAAAGCAATATTTATTTGCACTCATTCTCAGCTCTTTCCCCATATTACAAATATGCGTGTGTATGTGAGTGTTAACAAAAACCACAATAGCACTCCATTGCAGCGCCAAACTACTCAGCAAGAATTTAAAACTAAAATTTTGAGACTGAAAATGAACTAGACTGATAACGAACAGACTTACCCTTAATACAGACCAATTTAAGATTATGTAACAGCTGTCTTTAACATGCCAAGCTTTAAAGAGTAGTGAATCGAACAAACTATATCAAATGCTCAAAGAGAATTGTGAATAAATACAACATATTGTATTATAATATTAATCACTGCTTTCGAACATCATCATCATGCCATACGTCCTCTATAAAAACTACAATATTTTATTTTAAGTCTTTAGTGGTTTTAAGTCTGTTTACGATAAGAAAAAATCGATTTTTGTAACCTAGGTAGAATCTTCTTTTTTGAGTGAACTAATTCCTTACATATTTTTAGATTAGACAAAGTCATAATATAAATAATTGTCGAGTTTCACGCAATCTCCGACGGCATCAAAAAAAGGTCATCCACTGCTGCAGTAATTCTGGTCTTCTCCTTGAATTAAATCTAAAAACCTACAGTCGAAAAATTGACAAAATCTCCGAGTAATCACTGCAAATTCGAAAAATGCTATTTCAAGAAAAGCGCTTTAAAGATGAACTATATAGGCAATACTGACCATTCACGGCTACACTTTAGAAGGCTGTAAATCGAAAACTCTTCGAGATATCGATTTAGTTTTTAGTACACTATTTTTAATTGTAGAAATAAATCGAAATAAAAAAAAAGATTTTTTTTATTCACAATAGGTGTGCCCCTTAAGATTTTAAAATCAACAACTAATTAAATTTTGTTATAGAAAACTTTGCATTGTCCCTTTTGACAATTAAATAATTTTTGAGGCTTGGACAATAGTAAAAAAATTGTCTCAAATCTGTAAAACGAAACTTGAAAGAATTGATGAAAGCGGTCATACTACCTTAATATGTCCTGATATACTCTCTTTTAACGAATACAACTCGCGGACATTGTTATTGCTTTTCCTTGTAAATTTTTACCATGAAAAGCGAACAAACAAATGGCGAATCGATCACTTATAATGAGTATCTCAAAGAAGGTGGGTCTCGTTTTCTTATAAATGAGTAATGAAGACATCGGGATCTGGGTTTTAGAGAAGGTATTTAACAACTCGTTTATTTTGCCTGTTTTTTTTAGTTTCAAGCGAAGTTTCGTTAGTTTAGCGTACGTTCGTTTGTCACTCGTTCACACAAGTAACGGGCATGAGATGTGAACCAGTTGATTTCACTACATGGAAATAGTGCGACCACGTTCATATGTGTATGAGTACACATATGCAAGCAAAATATTTAAATGCCCGCTTACATTGTTGAGTAAGCAACTGTTTACGCTACCTTTTGTCATTCTCCATGCTTTGGCACGCGCTTTAATGCTCAAAATAATAAGCAGCTCATGTCATAATAGTCATACTCATAAGTAAGCGCCAACTAGTAAGGTGGAGTAAACGAAAAAGCTTTTATCGAGTCCCAAGTGTAATTAGCGAATAATAAAGAATCATATGTAAGTAAGTTCACCTATTTATACACACATATACACACAGCCATATATATATAATATTTGTGTATATGTATGTATATATGAATGAAAGTGATATCATAATGCCTAATAAAATCATGACAATTAATACTAGAATATTATTTAATACATCGCATTAATTCGTCTATTTAAATTCAAATTAGGGAAGGTGTTAGTTCTTTGCAGGAAGTAACTGAATATCACACACATGACACAATCTGGTAACTATGTAATATTTCTGCTAGAAGTTTCGCCCAGCTTCTAATCTTCTCTATAGCATACGAGGAATACAGTATTATACCAGTTCTAAGTCGCCTTGATTAGACTATGGAAAAAATTCGAGGAAGTTCTTCCACATCAGGAATAAAATTGAAGGTTTAACAGTGACTATCAAGATGCTATGGTTTTTAGGAATACCTTCGCACACAAAAACATAAAAATGTTACTTCGGCGTTGCGGTTTATTATAATAACGCAACTAAAGCAAGCTTTTAAGCATTATTTTAGGCTTTAATGAACAACACCGAGAAGTGGCATATTTTCGCCCAGTAGAGTAAGGATGAAAGCAACGTCCACCCAAAACTCTCGCTTCAACACCATTTGACGGAAAAATTTGTGGTCATGACATCAAACAACAACTAAATGAAGGTACTCCCCTCAGTTTATAATTACTCTTGATGCTTTATAATTGAAATCCATCTTGATCCAGTATAATTTCATACTTACAGGGTCCGGCACTCGAACTGTAACCAACTTCAAACCGCTCGCGCAGCTGACGCACGAGCATCAGCTGTTTTTAAGTTAGATAAATGATACCTTAGAATACTGGTTATAAGCACAAGAAAGCATTTTGCCGAGAGTGAATGCAAAAAAACGAAATCAGTAATAGTGTGATTGCATTATATTTAACTGGAAAATCAAAACAAGCGATTGTTCGAGAGCTGAAACACCTAAAAGTGAACAAAGTTTTCGTTTATCGCACCATTACTCGTTACAATGATACTAGTAGCAGTGGAGGTGGCCATCAAAAGACTGCAACGTCACCTGAGATGGTTAAAAAAGTGAATAAGCGACTTGAGCGAAATCACCGATGAAGTGCCAATCAAATGGTGAAAGAAATGATCTTCAGGTCAAGCCTTATAAGATCCGAAAGGCGCATAATCTCCCACCCAATCAGCACAAGTCAGAGTTTAAAGAGCAGAGGAGTTGTTTCGTTTGGCCGAACGTGGTCAATTTCCGACATTTTTTGTGTTTTCTGATGAAAAAATTTTTACAGTTGAGCAATTCGTAAACTCTCAAAACGATAGGATTTGAGTCATCGATTGGCCACCAGGAGGCAGCACCCGCCACAGGTAATGGTTTGGGCCACTGTAACCGCAGATAGGCGCCCTCCAATCCAAACATTTCGTTTGTAGACCATGGACAATTCAACAGGACTCGGCACCATCTCATAAAGCTCGAGTGAACCAAGAATGGCTGAAAAACAACGTTCCGATCTTCATAACGTCCACACAATGGCTCTCGAATTCACCAGACGCTAACCCGATGAATTATTCTAAAATATTCCGAACTAAAAAATACACCAGTCTCGAAACGCTGAAGAAAACCGTTGTCCGCGAGTGGGTCAAAATATCTGGAAGGCACATTCGGGCAGCTTGCGATTCGTTTTTTGACCATCTCAAGGCCATAGTCTAAGCAAAAGGTGGTCATATCGAGAAAAAATAAATTGTTTCAAAATTTTCTGTTATTTTCACACATTTTGTACTTTAACTGATTAAAAGCTATTTTCTATACTTAATTTATTGCCTTTTTAATTGGTTACACTTCGAGTGCCGTACCCTGTACATAGCTTACAGAATAACTCGTTTAGAAGTCAGCTTATCACCAAATCACCAAGTACTGAGAAGTAAACATTAAGATAACAAAGGAATACATTAAAAATTTTGTTTCAAGAAAATTCTTGAAACGCTTTCGATTTTCGTTGAAACAATTTGCTTCAAGAATACAAAGAGCAGAAGTATACATTTTTGTATAGCCTACATGGTGCTTTTCGATTTTGTTTTAAAGTCAAACGTCAAGAAATATGACTCGACAACAATATACACAACATATATATTATACATATGTACATCAGCGAACTTAAATTTTGACAGTGAAATGCTTCGAGGGAGAATTCATTGTTAGCTCTTTGATATACTTGGCCTTTTCTTGAAATAGTTTAAATGTATTTAAGGCTCAAATATTATCCAGCCTGTTGTGAAAGGAATCAGTTCTAGTATAACATGCCCAATATTTTTCGCCGTTAAGTTATAATTCATCGACAAAAATTTCAACGCATTGATATCGATCGTTAAAGTTAGAAGAAGTGTGGTCTGCTAACGAATTTCGATTACATAGCGACCATTGCTTTACACGATAATATTCAGGCTTTTCTTTCCTATCATATGGTATAATAGTCATTTAATTTAGTTGACACAATTGGTATTTTATAGCCTACAAAGTGACTAAGTAATTAAGTCAGTTTATGTGTGGTTTCAAAGTGAAGTTTTGTGTTCGAAAATATGTCGTCCATGCAATTCTATAATTGTGACCACAGCTGTCAATATATGTATATACTGTACTTTAATATTATCTGACAATTTGATTCATTGGCTCTGTAACAGTTCTGTTGCTATATTCATATTGCTTGTTGAAAACCTTGTTGTGTTCAAAGTTATTTGTAATAACAAAATCATAACTAAATTTCATTTATGGTAAATATTTCACAGGTAAAATTTTTGTGAACAGATCCACCTTTTCGATTTTGACATTGCTCTAGTAGAAAATGTAAACACAAAAGCCAAAGAATAAACTCAGCAACGGTATTTAAAACTAAATTTTATTTGCTTCGTATATCGAATTTTATAAACTTTGATTCGACGCCGACCAAAGTAAACAATATTATATAAGCAAGTCTATACACATGTACATATACATATATTTTAATTTGACTGTGGAGGTGAGGTGCTTTAATAAACACACCTATGTACATACAAGTATGTATGTCTGAATGTGTGTCGAATTTAAACATTTTTAAAAGGCATGCTATTCTAGTTAATATTTACGCATTATTGTTATTTTGTTATTGTTGGCATCTTATTAGGTCTGGCCGTAGCAGCGCCTACTACTGTCACAGTGCATATGTAAGTTACAAGTAAACATTTTCGAAAGAAATTTCCACTGATTATTATTTTTCAAAATTCAGACTCCAACAAATATAGGAATCTGAAATGTTCGAGCGACACAATTAGGTAAAATTGTGATAAAGACGAACTGTCTCATAACGGAAGTGAATACTAAGTGAGAGTAATTAATGAAATGTTTAGCTGGAGATTGCTTATAAGCTTAAAGTGAGCATTAAGATAACCTCAAAACACCATTAAATATAGGTATCTAATTTATTATAAGCATCACAAATTTTCCAAAGGAAGCTAAATACATTCTTTGCTCTCTTCACTCTAAAGAGGCTATCGTTAGGAGTGCAGTCGCTTAGCACTTGGTGAGTTCAAAAAACCACTGTCGGAGTTGTCTGAAAGCAGCCGCTGTAGAATGACCTCAGCATTTCCTTATAAATATAACGATTTTGCGAGGATAAGATAATAATGCTTTGGATCTCGTGCTTTAAGACATCCAGGTGAGCTAACTGGTCTCTAAATTATTCGTATTAAGGAATTTGTGATGAGTTCAAGGCGCTTTGTCGATGCATAAGGCATCATACATCGTCCGCATAATACATCGTCCGCGGCCCACATAGAACTTTCCTGTAATAGTCAAGTGGGTTTAGCCATATAAGCGAACCTCACCTAACACTGGAAGTGAAAACATAATGAATTATGCAACATTTTGAGCTCGTTTCAGTAAATACAACAACAATTAAGAAAGGTTAAGAGTCTTTTTTTATTTATAAACTGTGTTATTTCGACTCCAGTCCCGAAGTAGCAACTTTTTCTCAAACCGTTATTATACGTCGTTTATTTCTACGAAGGAAGTATATTTTTAATCTTTGGTGTTTTTCGGAATCAAACCGCTACTTCCCTAAATTTTATATAGGGCAACTTCTGATAAAAACGTTGTGTTATAGCCAGTATAGTTCTTCCAGCAATGCAGTTATCTTCTCTTTGATTAAAAAACCTTGTCTTAGGTAAGAGGTCTTATCTACTTGAGTTTACTCGAATGAATCAGTAGCCAATATCTTAACATTTGGTAGCACCTGTCAAGTTTTTTCGATCGCAGCACTTTTGGGCGTTTGTTTTCAAAATATTCCCACACGATATACATATGTACATATACATATCTGCAGATCATCCACAGGTTCTTTCAGCTAAATTAAGCTTTTCTTCCATATCCCCAAATATGAAGCAAAAACTTACGAAAGTATGTTCAAAAGGTTAACGAGTCCAGATTAACTCGGACCTATCATTTTGTAACTCCACTTTTCACAGAAAATGTATATATCAAAGTATATACTTTATTCATTTTGTGTGGCTTTATAGGATAACAGCACGACTACTATTGATTCTTTAGAACTCCACCGGCGCCAATAGTTGATTATGCAACTTTTTTATTGTATTATATAGCCTCCTATATATGGTACTATGTAAGTGTGCATAGCAGTTTTCTTCGGCGATACTAAATAAATAGCACAAAACAGAAAGCAGACACTAAAACGCCAAGGATGATGGCATTAATGGGGTCTTTGAGTGCAGTAAGGGAGGGATAATCGCCAGGTAACTCGTTTTCTGGTGAGCAAATAAATTACTCGTGGAATGCGTTTGATGTGGAATATTCGTGTTGCTATTCATTGTAGATATTACAATCACTGTTGTTGTTGTTGTTGTTGGCTAAATTGTTATTGCTATTAAATGCCGAACACTTTCATTCAGGTACACTTTGTAGGCCAGATTGTTTACAAACACATACGAGGGGAACTGCTGAGGCAGTTTGTGCAAACCACACTGGCATAGATACATATATATATATTGTATATATATATATATATATCTACGAACGTATATATACATAAACGAGGGTGTCCCAATAATAATTTAGCCTATATAAGCAAACAAAGTTTGTGGAAAAATTGCGATTTTTTCTCACCAAAGCCTCCTTTTTGCTATATACCCTTGACTCAGCGAAAGCTTATGCTATCCTCCTCATTCCAAATTTTCACCTGGCGATTGACTTCTTCACGCTTGGGAACTAAAATAAGTCGTTCGGAGCCAAATATGAAGCATACGATGGATGGCGCGGGAGCTTGTAGCTAAGTTTATCCAATTAGGGCGGGGTGACAGCGGAGGTGTGAGCCAATGTATTATTATGATGGAAAAGGATTTTCGACAAATAGACCAGAAAACGGTCGCCGTCGCCTTTCGGCCGATAGGACAATCTTCTACTAATTCACACACATTCAATTGACACACTATCAATACGAGACCATGGTCCATTGTCATTTTATCTTCCATCAGCCACTTATTCCAAACAAAGCTATGAGCCTGATTCAGCTGAAACTTCGATAGTATTCATCGACGAGTATACGAAAGTAAATTTCTCTTGCTATAGTGTCGCTATCGGGTGGAGGGGCTAGTTCATTATCAGACTGCCCTCGTACTTGGTGGACGATTTTTCATTAAATTTCCAAACTAGTTTGTTTACGACGCACCAACGCAATTCGCAACAGAGACATCTTAATTATTCGAAATCTTTGGTAAAGCAATACCAGATACACTTAATCTCAATGAAACGGAATGTGTACGCAGAAATTATTTTTTTAATGATAGATATATTTGAATTCACCAGTCAATTTGTTTTATGACAGTTGTTTCCTCCATCCGCCACTCTTTGGCCGAATCGTAGTAATCTTTTATGATAATAACAGTTTTACATCAGTATCTATGTAATCGTCAATGCAATACACAATGAAAGGGCGAAGAGTCTTAATGCAATTGATCTGCAAATCAAAATTAGATGTATTCTTACCATGCATATGAAAGTTCTCTAACGAATAACGTTGGATGATTTTTTTCCCTACGATCTATTTAGATACATCCATATAATGCCTAACTCCATTAGGAATTACATAAGTTATCACATTTAATTGTACAGTAGATAACTCGGATCCATATTACACCATACACCTTTTCATAACATACCCCTACATAGGATCTAACGGTTTCTGACTTCCCGACTCAACATCCTCTTAATACAATAGAGTGAGAATTTTCTCCTTAGCAAATGAAATTTATGCAAAAATGAATAAAAATGTATCTCTATCTTCTTCTATTATCTGAATTTAATACCGACAGGAATAAAAATGTATCAGCATTTTTTCTACTTTCATTTAGCCGAATAAAACGATTTCCATTCAACTAGAAGTTGATGTTATTCGTACCAATAATTTACGAGCAGGACAATTTCTACGCCTATGGAGGATAATAATTCCTGTGTATGTTGTGATCTTAAACGTCAGTATTTAGTTAAGCAAGATGTTTTAATGAAACCCTTATCTTTGGGTAAATTGGTACCCTATGAGTCCAATTTCGTTTGTTTATAAATGTACATCCGTCTTCTTCATTATATTTCTAAGAGAGTATTGTTCGGTATATGGTAGTGCTTCCAGTTGAGCTATCTTTATATATCCTAGAATATTAATCTTAAAGTTGTTTTTAACAAAATCTTTGGAACATATTATAGAGAGGATATTTAACATATTTTATTGAAAACTTTCCGAAAATAATAGTTTTTACGTTACGTTACGCGTTACAACTTTGCGTTACTAAACTTTGAATGACGATAACTTCCTAACATCTAACTGAAAGTGCGATCTCGAACTACTATTCGCTTTGCATAAACATATACATAAATAGACGATTTGAATTTTTTCATTATTATTTAAGAAATTTTATGGTATTTTTTATGGAATTTTCAGAATTTCATTCATTTTTTTTTTGATAATTTTTCTCTAGTAAGTTCTCTAGGCACTTGAAACGAATTGCAAACGTATTCCGAATATACCCTGAGGATAGTGAGAATTTTATTTGCACATAACTTTTCATTATATGAATGGAAAACCAATTACCAAGCCATTAAATATTTTTGGTACTTTTCTCAACTTTAGTTTAGCAGAGTATTAGCGCTTTCCAAATGAAGCAACGGAATTTAATCGCTTAATTATATGCAAAACGATGCTTAACTACCACCCAAAATTTCATAGCTTTCAAAATTAGTTATTAAGAATAATATCATCCTCAAAGTATTTGCTATTTTTAAAAAAACACAAAATCAAATTTATGTGAAGTCGATATAAAGCCCTTCTTGATTCTCACATAGACTTCAAAAAGGCTCTCGATAGTCAATTAGTTCATACACAAAATTGCTTTGTAACGGAAAGTGCTTATGTCATGTCACTATCAACAGTTTGAGTTGATTACGAGTGCACGGTTTCTAATGATAACGGTGCAATAAGAAAATAAGAAAACTGAAAACCGACTTCGAAGATGCGAAACGAAACATATAAATCAAAGTATTTACTCGAGAACTACGATAGAGGCAACTGCTTACCCATTTACAATAGTTCCAGGCCAGGCAGCCGCCGGAAAAATCTGTTGTTGTTGTAGCGATTGCAGCAATAATAGAGCACAATAGCGACGGCGGCTGTACGTATCACTTTGCACACATCGAGATTAGCGAGATTTGTTTGATTCAGCTGCTCTCGCGTGATTAATCTAACGACACATGCATAAACACACACACTTACAATTTATAACTCACCTATTTTGCAAATTTATTATTCGTTTTTTTCTTTTTTTTGAATGTGGTAAGTGTACTCACGTAATGCACAAACAGACAAATTAATATTTCTTATTCTTAATTTTATTTTGCAAGAAAATTATGTTTCTATAAACAATTTAAGATCTACTTTTGGCATTTCTACTAGCTACCATGTACCGTTGTTACCTTCGTAATTAATTAGTATTATTATTTTTGTGGCTTATAAAACAAGGCGCTCCATTCATTAAGTATAGCTGTAGTCAGCTTTCTGGGCTACTCTACTCTAGTCGCGCAATCGTTATCGCCGATGCCAAAGTCAACGTTGCCGTTGCCGTCGCCGTCGCAGTTCCAGCTATGTAGCTTCGTTAACTATGTAAGCCCACTTCAACGTTCGCTCTACAATACACTTTACTTGCTCAAACAGTTTTCAGATATACGGCTAAAACGTTTGCTCTTTTTTAATTTTTTGTTGAATTTTTTTTTTTTATAATTCTCCACACCTGCCAAATTCACTCAGTCGAGGTCTGCTGGTATGCACTGCGGTTAATTCATATATAATTTTTTCTTCTTCTTAACAAGCAGCTAGCTGGTTAGTTGCTTGCTTATAAATTTCAATATTTTGTTAATTTTTGGTATAATTTCCAAACACTTTCTAGAACAAGTGTATTTCATATTCCTACTAAACTTTTCCACTTTCAATAGGTATTTATTTGCCGTTTGTCAAAGTACCGTGGTCGTGACCTGTGCGCACCATGTTCGAGATACAAATAAAAATTGGTGATTTTGCGCAAGCAGAATTTGTGTGTCGCCCAGTCATTTGGTCGGCGTTTTGCTGCAATTTCGCTCTTTGCTTCACCACTTTCTTCTGTTACTCAACCGGAGAATGTCAGATTTCAGGACGTGCACTGACTCTCGGCTCAACGTATGTCATACTAAAGTAGAATGAAAATTGTATTTATTATGCGACCGACAGTATCAGAGTTGTTAGCTACAAAATAAATGTGGCGTATAGCGCCATCTGTATGTCAACTTTTGTGGTTTTTAAATATTTAGTAAGCGTTTAGTGAGGGTATTAACAGCAACGGCAACTGTCAGTTGCTTTTACTTATGGAATTAAAACTAGCTTCGACTATACGAAACTACTGAAAGAAAAGTAACAGCAACCGCGTCTACCTATATTTGTAGTGTTTGTCTTGATATTATCCAACGAATAGAGAGACCCATAAATTTGAAGCTATCACTGGGGGTTGTTGGATGTACCGTGGAAATTTATATTGCATAAATTGGTATTAACTCAAACGGGGTGACCACTTCCAACACTTCTTTATATTGGTCGGAATCTGTTGTGGTGTTTGCTTTTGATATACAAAAAATATATAAATGCATCCCTTCATTTGCAAGTTAATTGTTATACAGTTATACAAATACTGTATAACCCATATTATTAGGGTAGCTTTTTTTTATAAAACCACAAAGCACAAGTAAGTGAAGGTCATTTTACCTTCATAAGACTATCCGGTAAAATTTTACACGTTTAGGAAAAAAATAGTTTTTCTCCGAAAAATTTGCGGTTAATATTTTTCATATTTAACTGTTGTTATTTTTCAAAACTTGAACGTTTATTTAAAAAAAAAATATATATATAATAGCATTACTCAACGTATTGCCAATCTGAAACTATAATATTTTCCCATTTTTCCAGCGATTTGTAAATTCCATCCCATCAAAACTGCGCCGATGTGCCGGCCAATAATGAATCAAGCCAATTTTTGATACCATGTTTTGATATGAGCCTTATTCCATTGAGGGCCTTTGGCGTCGACTGGAACAAATGGTAGCCAGAAATAGCAAGATCTGAGCTAAAAGGTTTGTGAGTGAACCTTTTCAGCCGATTGTAAAAGTTCATAATACAGTACGTACTTCTGATCTCACCAAATGAATAGCATTAACTTGGCAACATGAATATTCAGTTTCGCCGTTGATTTGGTGGGTTTGTCAGGTGTCACATAGGATTTTATGTTTTTAGGGTGGTCGTAATGGACCCTATTTTCATCACCAATCGCAATCCGATGTAAAAACCACTTCTTTTGGTAGCGTTCAAGCTTTTAAACGTTTTGAAATGGATGTTTATTGGCTACAATCTTCATCGAGTACTCTTTATAATATCGAGATTGACATCGACGACACTGAAAGGTTCGCTTGCCCGAAAAAAAAACAAAAATATGCTATATATTACCTGCGAAAAGTTTGTATGTAAGGAGCAGTGGCGTAGCGTGCCTTGTCAGGGCCCCGTATAAAAATTTTTTTGGAGGCCCCTATATGGAGGTTAATTGCGCTTGGGCAATATTCAGGCACCCGGTGACTCCTTCTCTACCCATCGCGGGAAAAATTCACAACTAAAGATAGTCATAATGACAAGAATAGTGATAACTGCGCAATACTATATACCGGAGCTTGGTGGTATCAAAAATGTCATGTCAGGTAATATTACTATTTTTTTTATCCATGTATTATTTTCTATCATATGGAGTTTTCATATAAAATTATGTATTATTTTTTTTATTATCAGCAATCTAAACGGTAGGTATTTAGGAGGAGAATTTCCGAAGGATCAGTATGCCAAAGGTGTGGTGTGGAAAGCGTGGCGAGGATATTATTACTCGCTCAAATATGTACATATGGCTATAAGGCCAAAGTATTATTATTGAAATGGTGGTTTGTAAACCATACGTTCTAAAAATTACTGACTTTAAAGTTCTGCGGGGCAAATTTGAGCCAAACAGTAAATTTATTTATGTATTCCGGTATAAAAACTAAAGCTTTGTTAAATTTGCATATTGTGTTTAGCAACAATAATAAAATATACTTTATATTTTTAACAGAAATTCTCAAGTTTTTTTATTTGGATTACTTTAACTCGAAAAAATTTATTTTTATTCGTATCAAATTTAAATTGTATCCAAGTTTTAATAATAACTTGTGTATAAACAATTGTTTTACAATGCTCCTTACCAGGGGCGTAGCTACCGCCGTATCAATTATACGGGCTCCG